CCTCTGCCCTTCCCCCTCCCTGCTCACATGCTCTCTCTCTCTCCCCCAAATAAATAAATAAATCTTTAAAAAGAAAAAAAATGCAGTAAGCAGTTAAAAAAAAAAAAAGAACTATCACCATGGAAACCAAAAACTGGATGGATAAAGGAGACAATGTGAAAGAGGCAGGTGATTGCTGTCTTAAAAATATCGAATGCCACTGGCTTAGGAGGGACTGGAGCTAATGCACACAAATGATGAGCAAGAGGCTACCTGTCCACACATTCTTTCATTTCCTTGACCATCTCATCTCCCATTTTCTGTTCCTACCACCCTAGCTGCCCACTCAAATGGACATACTTAGACTTGTTTTCATCTATTTTTTATGTTTTTAAGTTTATTTATTTAAGTAATCTCTACACCCAACATGGGGCTCAAACTCACAACCCCGAGATCGAGAGTTGCACTTGCCCCCGACAGAGCCAGCCAGCCAGGTGCCCGGGACATATTTAGATTTGAGAAAAAAAAAAAAAAAAAAAAAAAAAAAGCTACTCCTGTCATTTCCTGTATTACTGCCTAAAGTTCAATTTCAAGCATTTTATGTGCTACTGCCACTCCAATTTGCACATCACTTTCTTCACCACTTCAGAAGTTCCTTAACCCCATTAAGATCTCTAGTTTTCACGGGGGTTACAATTCTTGTATTCACACTTCTTCATTCAGTGAGGAGTCTACGGCTCATCACTACCTGTCACTCTAGGGCACACTCCGTCCACACCTTTGCTCACTTCTGTTACACTTACCCAATGGAGTCCCAGCTCCAATTAAACCTAAGGCTCTGTTTACTCTGTATCTCCATCCAGGAAGCCAAAGATGGCTGGAAGAAAAAAAAACTGGTGCTGAGTAATCTCACTTGAAATGCATACCTTGACAAAACTCAGCGAACATCCTATTATACTTCCCTGGTAAACTTAACTTTCTAGGTCTCTGAGCTGATTATTATTTTCTTCCTGTCAAGGCTAACAAGGCTTCCTGCTGAACTTTATGGCCAGTTTCCAGTCCTCCTCTATTTTAATCAGTAAGTAGCTTTGACACTGTTGTCCATTCCTCTTTGAAACACTTTTTAAAGCCATTTGGCTTCTGGAACATCTATCCACATGCTCCATCATCTTTCTATCTCACTGTTACTGCCTGTAATCTCTCTTGGACCGCAATGCTGGGGTGTTCCAGGGCTCAGTCCTTGGTCTCCTCTCTTCTTTATCTAAGTGTCCAGGTCAGAGTTTCTCAGCTTTGGCACTACTGACATTTTCGGCCAGATCATTCTTTGATGCGGGGCTGTCCTGTGTACTACAGGGCTTTCAGCAGCATCTTTGTCCGCTACCGGCTAGAAGCCGGTAGCACTGACCCTTCTCCAAGCTGTAGCAATCAAAATGGTAACCTGACATTGTCAAGTGTTCCTGGGAGGAAAAAAAAATCACCCCTGACTGAGAACCACAGATGTATATGAACTCAACTAGCTCTGTGACTTCAAATGCCATCTAGGAGCTGATGAGCCCCAAACATATAAGCCCGTCCCTTGCCCCAAGCTCCAAACTTGTACACCCAACTGTCTCCTTGATCTCTTTATTTGGAGGTAGTATTTGTACCTGTATATTTATTGTCTGCCACTTCAATGGACACAACCTCCAGGGTTTGCATATTCACTATTTATTCCCAGTGGCTAGATATACAGGAGGTGCTTAAAATGTATTTGCTGGTTGAAGAATTAAACATTTAACATATATTAATTCACTTCATGCAAGTTAATCAATGATGGGCCAATCAGGCAGATAATTTCAAACACATCAAGGCCTCTTAAAGACATTTAACTTCAAGATAAAAGGAATGGCTTATTTTTAATTTTTTAAAATGTAATCTTTTCACCTAACATGGGGCTCGAACTCATGACCCCATCAAGAGTCACACACTCCACCAACTCAGCCAGCCAGGTGCCCCAGGAATGACTTAATTTTAAATAAATTGGTGAATAGTATTAATCCCATCCATTAAATTTTAGATACAATTCTGCTACACTCTTGAAAGTAACAATCACTATAGAGATCCCAATCTTTCAACACCTCTGTTCTACTCCACCCCATTACTACATTTCATTTCTATTTGTTATTATAAGTATGTATGACTTCATATATATATTTCCTTATTTCAAATAATAATTGTGCCTTTTGACTCCTAAGATGCCTGTTAGCTGCCAATTCTTAGCTGCAAGTCATTTAGTTTTTTATCCTCTTGGTCTAATTTATGCTCTCTCTATTTGAAACAGAGAGTAGAGGGTGAAGTTTTGAAAGGAGATGTGAATTCTGCTATCACTTAAAAAACTGCTTTCTAGATAATATCTATATTTATATAATATTTAATACTATTTATAATAGCTATATTTATGAGAATGGGGTATTGTTGTGTTTTTTTAAGTAAGCTCTATGCCCAGTACAGGCCTTGAACTGTCCCATGTTCTACCAACTGAGCCAGCCAGGCATCCCTGCTGTACTGTTTCTTATTCTTTTTCTCCCTCTCCAGGCAAAGCAGTAACCAAGTACACCACTTAGCTCTCCCATTAAGCACTGCACACATGCACATTACGATCAATTCTTATAAACCATGACCAACACTGTGTTTGGTGGAGGGTGGTCAGGTAGTACCCAGACATCTTTGCCATAAACCTCCCTGGTTTTTTATTTACTTGTATTTACTTGTATTTACTTGTTTTTATTATTATTTTATTATTTATTATTATTTTATTATATTTTATTTACTTTTTATTTACTTGTTTTATTTTATTTTTATTTACTTGTATTTACTTTTATTTACTTATTTATATAAATAACCTCCCTGGTTATTTATTTACTTGGGTGTTTATTCACTAGGCACAGATTTTTGTGTATTTCTTTGTGTAAATTTCCTGAGGTTCCTTGATCAATTCTTCTTTGAATATAATCGAACGATGTCTTAAATGATTAATGCCAGATAGATGTGATAGCATCTTAAAACTTTATAAGTAATAGACAAGAAGAAGTAAATATTTATGTATGCATAGCACAGGAACTCAACCCAAGTCCAGACTGCTCTATGGATGCTGTAAACTTTGTAACCCATACATACCCATTTGTCTGTGCCTTTAAACTTTTTTTTGGCTTTTTTAGAAAAATTGTGGTAATATATACATAACATAAAATTTATCATCTTAACCATTTTAAAGTGTACAGGTCGGTAGTGTTAAATACATCACATTGCTGTGCTGAATTTTTTTAAATGGCATCTCTATTATGTATGCTTGAATAAATAAAGTCAATCGTGGTATAAACAATGAATCCTGGAACACTGAAAAAAAATTAAAGAAAAAAAGCCCATCAAAACTTATTGATTTCAGTATTATTGTTCCAATCACTGCTGATGTTCATGCAAATTCACACACACACAAAACAGCTGCTAGAGGCATTTAAAAAAAATCTTTCACAAGTACAATATACCACAAAAGACTTAAATTTTAATACTTGACAAAATCTTAAAAAAATCAAAAAATTTTTATGATTACTTTCTCATGATTCACCAGCAAATGCAAGGTTTTCAAGAAAACAGTTTTTAAGAAGAAGTATGGACTTTCCAAACAATTTTTTTTCCCATTTAGGAAATTTAAAATAGAAGCTTTAAGGAAAGATTTCAATCATATCAAGACAAGAATCAAACAGGATTTGATTAGCTTCTGACCAACGACTCTTGGTACATTTAAAAATGAACATGTTTTCACAAATCCTCAAGGTAAGTTCAAGTTGCCTTGAGGACTCACAGCCTAAGTCACTGAAGGGCTTAAAAGTTATAAATGTTTTTGAGTACAAGTGTAATTTAGCTAGTGAAGAATTTGACAGGACACAAAACTGACCCATTTTACTCATAAAATCAAATAAAGTAGACGATATCCGCTCTATTTTAGAACTGGAAGGAAGACTTGGCTTGGCCGATCAAATGGGCAGAACCACTGCTCCAGTAAGGAGGCCGTCTTGGGCATGTTTCCCCCTTTCCTGAGGCGTGTGGGTGGAGTGACTCATCCACAAAGACACTGCTGCGTTCTTGGACCAAGATACCCCACAGTCTGTTTTTCACATAGAGCGGATTTCTAACAAATAGGCATCTTGCCCCCAAAATATTGAAATGTTTAGAGAATGTGACTTAGTTGGACTTCCTGCTGAAAGGAGGTTAATGGTTTCAATGTGAATACTTTCGAGACTGTTGTAGCATAACTGTGGGTGTTGCTGGAGAAAACAATGGATTCACAGGCAAAAAGGTTGGGCCTCAGTGATACTGCTTCCCTGGTTACTCCCTCTTCAACAGCGAGTCTAGTCAAAGGAACTCGCTCACTCTGTAGCCAGGGACAGAACTGTCCCTTTAAGAATGCAAAATGAACACAGCACAGTAAACACTATTTAGCTTTTCTCCGAGGGACAAAGATCAATAAATACCTACGAGGCCACACTCTACACATCAATCTTCCCTGTGTGTACCGACAGAGACAGTCTGCAAAGAATGGAACGAATATGAGTGGACGTCGGGGCGTACTCTCGAACCTTCTCTCTTTTTCTTTAAGTGTTTGGTATTAGTCGTGTCATACGCATTTTGCTTGCTCCCACAAGTGGAGCATCCAGCTTCACAGAAGAGCCGGTCAAACAACCATTACACGTTGGAGAATAAAGTCCAAATTAAAAAAAAAAAAAAAAGACAGAAAGAGAAATCTTTTGATCTGCCTTGACAGTTGTTCAAGCCAGAGATAATGTTAACATCGTAACCTGTTGGAGAATCAGGTCAGCTAGAGCTCACGCGGTTCTTAAAAAGATCCGTTTTGGCCACTGACACGAATCCGTGAGGAGGATGGAACTCTCCTACGAGGCACAGGGGGGAACACACTGTGCACGTAATGACCTCAAAGTTAAATTATTTCAGTGAGGATAAATATTTGGTTCTTCTAGAACTACCTTCACGTTGAATGTGATTTCCTCCATGACGTACACGCGTTCAGGAAATGCTTTAGCCACCTCCTCCACACTGTTGAAATATTGCACTGGCTCCTTTATATCTCGGTCTTGTTCCAGCAGCTTGAATTGCCCTAAAACACACGATAAACGGAAGAGATGTGAGATGTTTACGCTGGACAGCTGTCACCGTGGCGACAGCATCCCCCTTTCCTTTACTCCCACTCTTCTTTGTCAAAGGCTTCTGATCATTATCATTGGGGGGAAAAGTTACCATGGCAGAAGGTTTTCTTCAACGAGAATATGTATCGAAGAATCAGCTTACAGATGGAAAACAATCATGAACTGTTTCTTTTTCATTTTTTGTTCACACCAAGAGTTTGTTACCCGATGACCAAAATCAAACGGAATGGATGCCTGTCTGTAATTTGGTCTCAAAGCGAAAACCTACTCGGTTACAAATGATTGCTCATTTTGTTTTTCACAGGAATCACCTTGGCATTTAGCTGTAATTAACACCCACACAGGTGATCTTCTGAAACGAAGGCCGAGTGGCCTGGGGGAGCTCACTGTTTAAAAAACGAGTATTTAAAACTCTTACAGGTAGGATAAAATAGTACAGTGGACCTTTGGCTCTCACAGAATTGATATCCTTGGTTTCAACAATATGCGGGCAACACCGAAAGCTCGTGAGCGGCTGTAATGTGGGGTGTTGCTGCTGCACAAGCATGAAAAGCCTGAGCAGAGCGATGCTGGGCCACGGGCTGAGCCTCCTTCTGATGAGTGAGCCTGGCCACGAGCCAGGTGGCATCTGGAACCACATGTGGCTTCCTCTTATTCCTTTGTATTGTTCTGTGGGAAATTCATGAGAGAAGAATATACCATCACAGTATCCATAATTTGGGGGATTTGTGAAGACCTTTGAACATATTCCTAAAAATTTCAAGCATCTATGGCTGTTTATATACTTTCAATATTGATGACACTTCTGCTCCGTTCTAGAGGAGTCGTTCACAGCTTAGGATAAAAGACCGTATGTACTCAAGCCAAAGACAGTGTTTCTTGGTAGTCATTTTCTGAAGGCTGCTTACAATCTAACACTTGAGAAACTTGAAAAGGAATTAAAAGCTATAATGAGGCAAATCTCTCAGCATGCGTCTATGGGGCATTGGGCGGAAATAAACTTTCATTCATATTCTCAGGACTTTTTTTCACCATCTGTTAGGTGGAGGCATTATCCTAGATGCTGGAGAGAAGTCAATAAATAGGCCAGATAAAAATCTCTATCCTTCTGAATCTTACATTGTAGCAGGAGACAATAGTAAATAGGATAAGTGACTAGGGTACGTAATAGGTCGGGGGTGAGAAATGTTGTTAATAGGGCTGGGCGAGGGGGACAGAGTAGGTATGGCTGAGAAGGTGAGCTGTGACATCACTGGGAGGTGTGTTCTATGAATTCTAATCAGCCAAAAGTCTAGGCAAAGAGCTGCTGGTGGATGGGTGGGTGGCTGCCTGCTTGGCATGCTACCAGTATGGCTGGAGTGGGCTGAGTAGAAGGTTAGAGGGAAGAGAAATAAAGTCTGAAAAATAACAGGTGTTCAGATTACGTACAGCTTTGAAGACTTGTAGCTCTATCTGAGTGGGATGGAGAGGTGCTGGGGGGATGCACAAGGAAGTGATCTAACCAATGTTAGAGAAGGACCACTCTGGCTGCTGTTTTGAGAACACACTGTGGAGGTACAAGGTGTAGAGGCAGAGAGCAGCGAGGCAGTCCTGCAATTGTCCAGCTGTGAGATGGCAGGGGTCTGGAAAAGGTGAGAACCTGTGATGAATTTGGCCTGAGCAGTTGAAGGAAGCAGGTTTGGAAGGGTGGGGGGTAGGATCCGGAGTTCAGTCTGAGACATCTGCTAGGCAGGCAAACAAAGCTCGTAGATGAACATAAACGTGTGGAGCTCAGAGAGAAGTCTGGCTGAGAGAGTCTAGGAGTCATCAGAACACATGATCTTCAAAGCCACGGCACTTGGTGATGATGGGCATGGGCTTAAGTGCAGACAGAGAAGAGGTCTAAGGCTTGAGTCCCAGGAGACTAAGAAGGACTGGCGGGGGGAGTGAGAAGCAAATCCAGAAGGGGTGCATTCTAGAAGCCAGAGATTTGAGCACTTTAAGGAGCGAGAGAGATGAGGCCTGACAACTGTCAGGTTTAGCAACTTCACTTAAGCAGTGGAACGGTTGAGGTCAAGCCTGCCTGAGCTGGATTTAATGGAGGCTGAGAAGGGAGAAGTGGGAGTAACAGGAATGGACAGCAGGTGACCTTTGGGAGTTTGGCTGTGAAGGGGAGAAGAGACATGGCGTGGTAGCTGAAGGGAGCACATGGGATAGGATCGAGGGCGCGTTCTTGGTTTCCTTAATATAGTGGATGCTGATGGGAATGACCAAGGGAGGGACAAGACTATGAGGATGGAATTCTTCGGAGCATGTCCCTGAATAGGCAGAGGGGACACGGGAGTGGAAGGGCTGGCCCTCAGCAGGAGGTCACCTGTGAGAGCTCAGTGGGAGCTGGCAGAAGCTCCCTATAAGAAAGGCATCTGTTGAGCATAAGGTCAAGCGATGAGCTGTGGGAGGGCTGAGAAAAGAGGAGACCACAGAAAAGTCCACTGAGAGTGAAGGACACATCATGACTGCCGGACAGCTAAGTTTGCACCTGAGGTTCACAGTCATGAATTAGAAGTGAAACCGAAGAGTAGAGTTGTATGTTTTCCTCCAGCCAATGGGTGACGCAGAGGGGCTGGCACAGAGCAGACAGAGATTTGGATCCAGCCAGCACTGTGAAACTGCCAAGTGAGGACAAGACGTGAAGGAAGGACAGAGGAGCCCGGATGTATGCAAGGGAAAGCAGAATCACTGTCTGTGGCACCTGCGCTGGATGCAACATCTTGGGAGGGAGGAATGAGGGTGGAAAGTAATGGAATCAATGGATAGTGGGTTCTGATGCAGCAGGATTTCTGGAGGGAGGCAGCTCAAGAGCCAGGCAGAGGAGTGGTCAGAGGGGCAGGCATGCACTTTGAGACAATGGAAGCATGCCGTGGTCGGTGATGACACAGTCTAGGGGGCAACTATGGGCGGTAAAGGTTGAGGTGACAAGAAGCTAAAGGATCTAAGAGGCCAGGGGTACTAGAAGGATCATATGTGTATGCACTGAAATCCCCAAGAATGAGGAGAGAAGGAATGGTGGAGAGAGGCAGTGAGCCAGGAGTGAGAATTATGGAGAAACGAGGAGGGGATCCTACATGTGGTAGATGACAGGAGCAACGATGGGATCACGGGTGAGAGTCTGAGGACAGGAGATGAAAGCTGAGAGTTTCTAGGGAGGGGAGAAGTGGAATGGTCAAGGGAGCAATGAAGAACCCAGCTCCTCAACTTTGGGGCAAAAAATGGAGCTGCCACCTGAGAGGGCTTCAGGGAAGTGGTGTTTTCAGGGCATACCCAGGCTAGGGTTCAACAAGATAAAAGTAATGTCAGAGAACACCTTAAGGACATAGGGATTTCGCTGGTGATGGGACTCCAAAGGGAGAGTTTTCAGAAGTTAAGGGGAAGGCGATGAGGACAATGTAGTGAACATATCTAGATACGACAGGTCATATACCTTTAGAGATAGGGAGGAGTATGAATAAAACATTTGAAAATATAGTATAAAATGTTAGATTATACCCTTTTCACAAAAAACAATAGAATTCTTAAAAATTTTAAGAAATGATAGCAATTATCAGTACCACTTTAACAGATTCTGCCATGAGAACAAATCAAACTTTCATATGTCTCTACTCTACTCAGTCCTTGTACAAACTTGTAGTAATTATGGTGTATCTCCAGTTTCATCTCCATTCCTCTCTACATTTTCCGACATTCCCCCAACATGACTACACTTACTTAGAATGTTTGCATCCCATTTCATAATGGATTTAACTATTTTTCTGTTCTTACACAATGAGTCTGAGTTAGGGTAAGACTGACGTAAGTGCCAACTCGGCCACTGACACATGGTTAATCCGTCTGAGCTTTGTTTCCTCACCCACAACGTGGGGACACTTCAAAGGGTTGCCACAAGGATCGACAGCGAGGATTTTCAGTATTTAGCACAATTAACCATCTAGCAACCCTCAGCTCCCTTTCCTGTTCTCAAGATGCACAGAGATTTTCTTTCCTCTTTTTTGGCTTGCTTTTGTGAGATAAAGTTTCTAGCACTGGATTACTAAAGCAAAGGGTGCCGCACAATTCTTTGTGTTGAACATGCCAGGCTATCCCACTTTCCAAAATAACTAAAACAATTTGTATTTCTACCATGTGCATCTTAGTTCGACCACAGTCTTGCCAGAAGCAAGTATTCCTTTTTTTTTTTTCTTAAAGATTTATTTATTTATTTGAGAGAGAGAGAGAGAGAGAGAACACACAAGTGAGTGCGGGGAGGGGCAAAGGGAGAGGGAGAGAGAAACTTTGGAGTCTCCTCTCTGAGCTAGGTGCCTGATGCGGGGCCTGATCTCATGACCCTGAGATCATGAGCTGAGGTGAAAGCAAGAGTCAGATGCTTAATGACTGCGCCACCCAGATGTCCCCTGCAGTGAGTACGCTTTAAGTTAGACAATTCAGTGGGTACTAAAAAAGCATCTCTTGCCTGTAATCTGCATTTCTCTAAAGATCAGCAACGTTAAACAGTTGGATTTTTCTCCTGCAAATGGCTGTATAAATATTTAATAAATACATCTGATGTCATCTAAATTTCTTTTAACCTCCAGAGACATATGTCTAGGAGTCTACTGGATATTTATACTTGTGAGTCTCATCAGCCCCAAATTCAACATGTCTCAACGCAGGGAAGCATAATACCTCACATACAATAGCACTTAATAAATGTCCACCGAACAAAAGACAGAAAACTGCGTTGGTTCCAGGACTCACAAACAATGAATCAACACATAAGTAACTGCAGGTTTTCAAAATTATAAATAAAAGTGAGCTGCATGACTATATACAAGGTTTGCCTGTTTCTGAACATGAGCTGCATGTTTTCATTCATCAGAGGAAGAAAGCAACGGTGTGCTATGGTTTACTTAAAAATCATTATCTGAATTGCGCACAG